ATTTCTACATACCAATAACAAACTATCTGAAAAAGAATTCAAGAAAGCAATCTCATTTACATGAGCTACAAACAATAAAACAAAATACCTAGGAATACATTTAACCAAGGAGGTGAAAGACCTCTATAAGGAAAACTACAAAACTCTGATGAAAGAAACTTAATATACACAAATAAAAAGACATCCCATGCTCATGGATCAGAAGAATAAAGTTAAAATGACAATACTACCCAGTGCAATGTGTAGATTCAATGCAATCCCTATCAAAATACCAATAACATTTTTCACAGAAATAGAAAAAAAAAATCTTAAAATTCATATGGAACTACAAAAGATCCTGAATAGCCAAAGCAATCCTGAACAAAAAGGATACATCTGTAGGCATCATACTACCTGATGTCAAAATATATTACAAAGCTGTAATAACCAAAACAGCATGGTACTGGTATAAAAACAGACACATAGACCAATGGAATAGAACAGAGAACGCAGAAATAAATCCACATATTTATAGCTGACTGATTTTTCACAAAGGAGCCAATAACATACATTAGGGAAAAGACACCCTCTTCAGTAAATGGTGTTGGGTAAACTGGATATCCATGTGGCAAAGAATGAAACTAGACTCTTATCTCTCACAATATACAAAACTAACTCAGCATAGATTAAAGACTTAAACGTAAAGCCCACATGCATAAAACTACTGGAAGAAAATATAGGGGAAATTCTTCAGGACATTGGTCTAGGCAAAAATTTTACAGCTAACACTTCAAAATCACAGGTAACGAAAACAAAACAAAACAAAACAAATAGACAAGTAGCATTATGTTAAACTATAAAACTTCTGCACAGCAAGGAAATGATCCAAAGAGTGAAGAGACAACATTTACAATGAAAGATAATATTTACAAACTAGTCTTCTGACAAGGGACTAATATTTAGAATATATAAGGAACTCAAACAACTCAATACCAAAAAAGAACTAAATAATCCAATTAAAAAGTGGGCAAAGGATATGAATAGACATTTCTCAAAAGAAGATCAACATGTCGGCCATACAAATGGCCAACAGGTTCATGAAAAATATGTTCCAACATCGCTAACCATCAAGAAAATGTAAAACAAAGTAACCATGAGATTCACATCACACTTCTTAGCACAGCAATGATAGAAAAGATCAGAGATGAGTCTTGCTGAGGATGTGGAGAAAAGGAAAGCCTTATACACGATTGGTGAACATGTAAATTAGTACAGCCATTTTGGAAAACAACATGGGGGTTCCTGAAGAAACTAAAAACAGAACTACAATATAATTCAGCAATCCTACTACTGGGTATTTATCTAAAGGAAATATATTGTAATCAGTATATCAAAGGGACACTTGCACCCATTTACTGTAGCACTTTTTCACAATAGCCAAAATATGGAATCAACCTAAGTGTCAATCAATGGATGCATGGATAAAGAAAATGCAGTAAATATACACAATAGAATAGTATTTGGCCATAAAAAAGGATGAAATCTTGACACTTGTAGCAACAAGGATGGAAGGGGAGGTCATAATGTTATGTGAAATAAGCCATGCACAGAAAGACAAATATCGCATGTTCTGACTTATATGTGGGGAGCTAAAAAAGTTTATCTCATGGAGGAATAGAGTAGAATGGTTACCAGAAACTGGTAAGGATGGATGGGGGGATGAGGAGAGATTGTCAATGGCTACAAGCATACAATTAGATAGAATTTTAATAAGTTCTAATGTTCAACAAAACAGTAGGGTGATTACAGTAAACAATAATGTATTGCATATTTCAAAACCGCTAGAAGACTCGAAATGTTCCCAACACAAAGAAATGATAAATGTTTGAGGTGACAGATATTCTAAGTAACCTGATTTGATCATTACACATTGTATGCATGTATCAAAATATCACATTAACCCCATGAATATGTATAATTATTTTGCATCAATTAAGAACATTCTTTAGTTTTACATAAGTTTCCTATGGGAAGCTGAGTACTATACACATATTTTTTGAGTAGTATATTTTTTAAAAGCAAGCATTATTTGATGCAATTTTACTATATCAACCTAGGCAGACAAAAAATATCTAGAGTTATGTTCACCAAATGATGATGACGGTTATTTCTAAGTAATGGGATGAATATATTTTAATTTTTAAAAAAAACCCATTCTGACAAAGAGCTAATATCCAGAATCTACAAAGAACTCAAACGAATTTACAAGAAAAAAACAACCCCATCAACAAGTGGGCAAAGGATATGAACAGACATTTCTCAAAAGACATTTATGCAGCCAACAGACACATGAAAAAATGCTCATCATCACTGGCCATCAGAGAAATGCAGATCAAAACTACAATGAGATACCATCTCACACCAGTTAGAATGGTTATCATTAAAAAATCAGGAAACAACAGGTGCTGGAGAGGATGTGGAGAAATAGGAACACTTTTACACTGTTGGTGGGACTGTAAACTAGTTCAACC